ATATACTTATGTTGTTCTGTTGAACGTATCAAAATGGATCTTAAGTTGTACAAGTGGTTGCATTACTCTAAGTTGTTTGTGACGTGTTGTTACTTATAAATGTTTATCTTGCCTATAATGTAACATGTGTTGCTTGTGACACATTAATGTCTACATTATATATATATATGTGTGTGTGTGTGTGTGTGTGTGTGTGTGTGTGTTGAATGTTATTCATGCTGAAGAGGTTAAGATGTATAAGTTGTGTAATGAGTAGAGTTGTATGTGATGTTGTACAGTGAATATGATGAAGTAGTTAAGTTGACCATGCTATATATGTTGTTTAAAGATGTTTTTAATGATTATTGATGTTGTGTAGTGGGACATGAGACATGGTTGAATGATGTTGCCTTTTAAGTTAAAAATCGACAAATTTAGTTGTAAGTCGTTTAGTTGTTATTAATGTTATGATTATATGTTAATTCATTTGAAATCTAATTTACCCTTACATGTTTTTTAGTGGTTGGATTGCGATGATCAGATTTTGATGAGAGTATGATAGAGTTAGTTGGAGGCAGACAATGGCTTTGGTAAGGATATGTTGGTGGTTGTTTTGTTGTTCTATTGAATTACTTTGATGGAATCAGTTTGTATAGTTATTGCTTGATAATTGATGGATTACTTTGTGTGTGCGTGTTCGTGTGTGTTAGTTGAGATATATCAAATACACACACACATATATATAAGTGATGTGAATATATTAATCTTTGGTAGTTGTAGTTGCTTTCTACTGCTAATTGTTTGATTCTGTTAAATATAAAAATCATGTCAAGTCGTTATAATGTATGTGTAATTAACATGCTAACTACAATTTATTTTAAATTATAGATAAAATATGTGATGCTAGAATTAAATATATTTTTAGTTTATGAATTTTTATCAATTTTTATTTTTAGTCACTAGTAGTTTAGCCTGGGCAATGCACATGCTAATTATTTATTATATATAATTAAAATTTATAATAAATTATATATACAAATAAATACTATATTTGAATATATAAATCCGCAGGAAGAAGGCCATTATGGCTATTGGTGTGGATGAAGAACCAAACAAGGAGGCTCTTGACAACATTGGAGATGTGCCTGCCATTGAAGAGTTTGTATTCCTCAAGCTCTAGTTGGTATATAAACCCGGATCAATGGATTTTAATCATTAAGTTTTAGAAAGCGAAATAGCTATTGATTAAAATGAAATGTTCTTTTTTAACAATTATGTAGTTTTTTTCTCTCTCTGAAAGTGCACATGCACTTCAGATGATCTAGATCTGTTTTTGCATATGATCACCAGAGGTATTTTGGTGGCAATTCGAGGAAACTTGAAGCTATTTTGGGTGTAATATATTTGGATTTTTGAGAATAAAACTAGCTGTTTGCAGCTAGTAGTGTGCACCTTTCTGTTGTCTCTGCATTGAGTTTTTGCTATTGCAGTATCATGAATTCAATTTGGTACGTTGTTTCTAGCTGATAAAAGCAGTTAGGTATTGACGCATAACTATTGTAATTATTACAAAGGGCCAAGGCAAGAGATTCGTCAATAATGTAATGTACCAACTGGAACTTGCGGAAGTTACAAGCAAGAAGCAATTCATTTAATTCATCCGGAAGATGCCTTTAATACCTATAATTCTAAAACTAAAAGGCAAACTTTGCCCCTGAATGTTTCCACAGCTAGTACAAAGAAAAGCATCTATCAACTCGTTTTCATTTCAAAAAATTCAACTAATTATAATATTTGCTTAACTAATTGTAACTTTTTAGTCCAGGTGATCTGTTTTTAGTCTTTTTTTTTTTTATAAAAAAATTTCTTTGTAATATTTTTTCCTAAAATTAAAATAACTGAAATTTGAAAATATCAAAATGAAAATAAATAAATTTAAGAAGATTATAAAAAAAACTAGAATTAAGAGAATAAAAATTAAAATAATCTTATTTTAAAGAGATTAAATTTCTATTTTTAAAGTAAATTTAAAATATTTTATTTTCATTTGTACTTAAATAGAGTAAAAATCTTAAATTCTAGTGATCATCTAATAAAATCTATTGCAAATTAAAATTTTATAGAAGTTGAATAAGTTGTAATCAAGTTACGAAAGAAATATAATAAATAAAAAGTAACAAAAACAAAACATATGATACCATAGAAATGTCAAAATGAGTTACTCAAGAATAAAATGATAAAAAAGAGGTATTTTGTTTAACGTAATTTATAAGAGATATAAAAAAAATGTAATTAGAAATACTATTTTATTTTTAATATGAGTCAATCAGGTAAGAATGAGTTATAAAAAAAACTATGTTAATGTGGGTTTGTTTGTTTAATTTTTTTTATTATTTTATATCCACATGTTATGATTTATTTTATTATTTCTAACTTATTTCATATTTAGTACTTAATACGTATTTATTATATTTTTTTTTATACATTTGTAAGGTGATTGTATCATTATATGATTTTTACAAAATTATGCGTTTAACTTTCATAATTTCTTTTTTTATTCATTAATGTATTTATCATAGTTATTTTTTTAAAAAATTTGTATTAATGTATTTATTGTAATTAAGATTTTAAATTTATAAAATTAACTCAAATAAATATTTAGCTCATAAGTTTAATTCCTTTAAATTTTATTTTATTTTATTTTAATCTTCTCAAAATTTTGTTTTTATGTTTCAATCCTCCTAAATTTTTGTTTTAATGTTAATTTCAATCCTCCTAATTTTTTATTATTTTCATTTTAGATCTCTTAAATTTTTGTCATTGTAAATTTATAATTTTTCTATTTTAGTTCTTATAATTTTTTATTTTTCTCTATTGATTTGGGTCAGTATTATATATATTTTTTTGAATTAGTCTGTTTTACATATAACATCACCATAAATTGACTATGCGCGTGTAAACTGCAAGTGTCATGTAGAAAATTTTCTCATTATTACAATGGATCTGAGAAAAAAAAAGAGGAGTTTGAATCAAATAAAATATATATTTCGAATTTTTTGTAAATTTTTTTGACTCATAACCATAAAAGTATTGTGTGCATTTTTTGTTGTTGAAAAAATTAGGTTAAAAAAATTATTGAAAAAACTCATTACGATAGAAGATGATATTTTTATTTTTTTGAGAGGATGAATTTTTATTTTATTTTTAGAAAAATATTTGTTTTATTTTGCGGAGGTTATATATAGATGAGATTTGGTATTTGGATATTCTTTTCAAAAATTATTTGTCAATAATTCATAATATAGAATAAGTTGGAATACTTAATTCGTATAAATAGGTAAAACAAAATTCTTATAAAATATTTAAGAAAAAGGAATCCATTATTTTATTAATATTTAATAATATTTAATATCTATGGGATTTTGAAATGTTCATAGAGGCAAGATTTGGGATTCATTACTTAAATTTTTACTTTCTTAGTCTTTCTCTTTCGGGAAGGAATTCATATTTAGATATACACATACGAAAAGCCACGTACAATGAACAATGCAAGCATGACTTTGGGATAGTTTCTTTCTTATTTTATTGTTGCATTTTATTAAAAAAAAATTATCCACTTCATCCAATTAATTTCGACTTTAAACAGATCATTATCATTAGTTTAATGTTTGAGAGAGAAGCAATTGGGGGTAGTAGTAAAAAAAATCTAAACTTATTGCTGGTCACATCTTTATAATCTATTTTACACATAAAAAAAGCTTTCTTTTAACAGTTATAAACCATCCCTTTGTGCAATTATTACATATATAAAAAAATCTGATATACATATCATAGTTAACATGTTTTACTCATTATTTAGTAATAGGTAGACATTTGTACTTGTCAATTTTTTTAATGACTCTTATTTGTTAATATTGCATGTAAGTCGCAAGCAAGACCTATTAAAAACTTCTTCTAATATTTATTTTATTTTTATGTTTTATTCAAATGTCGGGCTCCTCTTCTTAAATTCCTAAAATATAAAATTCTTTTTTAATTATTATTCCTCATAAAATGTATTTTAATGTAACAATTTAAAAGTATAAAATGTACAAAGACGCAAATATAATACAATATAACAATTAATAGTAATAATTCAACAATATATATAAATAAACCTTTTCCCCTCAGATAATATCAACCCTTTGTATTTATTAAATATAACATAGTATTTGTAAAACAAAAAAGTGATTTTTTTTCCGTTCAAGTATTAATTAATGTAATTATTAAATACTTTGTATAATTAAGTTTGATAATATTTATTCTTGCATTATTAGGTTTAGTTATAAGCCTTGAATAAAACAGGTCACGTAAATATTCTTTCTAGTTAGATTATACCTTTTTTTATTTTTATTTTTTTTACCTAGTTTATATTATACTTTTAAATAGGAGAAATTAAGTTATAGAAAAATGCTCGTAATAGTTAAATATATTAAGCTTAAACATAGTAATGATGTTATTGGTTAAGATTTTTTTAAAGACCGTTGTAGGTTAAGTTTAAATCCGCTAAATCCTAACTATCCTTGATTACCATATCCGATAAATATAATCATTTTTATTAAAACTTAATTTTAAATAAAGATGAAAATAACCTCAAGCGCGTGTGGTTCAGCGGTAGGGGTTGATCCACGCTTAAGCAAGGTCAGGGGTTCGAATCCTGCCTTGTATATGCAGCTGCGTTAAATCTTGGCCTCCCGTAGCGAGGTGATTAGTCACTGCTGTCGAAAAAAAAATAAAAATAAAGATGAAAATGAAAAGTTAAAAGAGATAGATGTTAATTTATTTTTTAGAAAACATTATCGCTAAAAAAATGTAAAAACATTTATTGTTTAGTAATAATTATTCACATAATATGAACATGCTAGTATAATATGAAAAAGGAAATTTTTGAAAACTTGGTGGAAATATTTTATGCTAAATAGTTATTTTATTTGATCTGAAGTTAAAAGAGATGGTGCATTGTACTTTTTATTTATATTTAATTTAAGAGTTGCGGTTGCGGAGTGAGGTATAGAGGTATAGAGGTATAGAGAGGATTGGGGTTAGGGTTTGATAGTTTTGATCCATTTTCCGGACGCAATGGCTGGCACCGGCATCCACCCATACCACCAGCAATGGCCTCCGGCAGCCGCGGCGCCTCCTCCTCCGCCTCCACCCGCCGCCGCTCCTCCTCCCCACGCCGGCGAAGAGGTTCGAACCATATTCATAACTGGCCTCCCCGAAGACGTGAAAGAGAGAGAACTGCAGAATCTGCTGAGATGGTTGCCAGGTTTCGAAGCTTCTCAGCTGAATTTCAAAGCCGAAAAGCCAATGGGTTTCGCTCTCTTCACCGCTCCACACCAAGCTCTCGCCGCCAAAGACATTCTTCAGGACATGCTCTTCGATCCCGACACCAAGTCCGTTCTTCACACCGAGATGGCCAAGAAGAATCTCTTCGTCAAACGAGGTTTCTCTCTCTTTCATACCACACCGCAACGTTCATTTGATCTCTTAATTGCCGTTTCTTCAAATTAATGCCATTTCCCCTTGCCTGTTACTTTCAAACCGTAACCGACACCTTAGCTCCACATTTATCTAGCTTGTCTTGTTAATCACCTGTTCCTGCTCGCAATAGTTCACTATTCTGTTAATTTACCATTAATCGTTGACAAGAGTGTTTCGACACTTGTTTCACTTGTTTTCCTTTACCAATGATTGGGATTGGATTCGATTAATCACTACTAGAGGTTACACTTGCACTCTATCCCATGGAAGGAATTATACCTCCTTATTAAAACAAAAAACAAAAGTATCGTGTTAATTTATTTTTTGTTTTTATTCACTTTGTAGATGTGCTTATTTTGATTTCTTTGTAGGAATAGGAGCTGATGCGGGTGCTTTTGATCAAAGTAAACGCTTGAGGACAGCCGGGGATTATACACACACTGCTTATACAACTCCATCTCCTTTTCATCCTCCCCCGCCACCTGTCTGGGGACCACATGGGTAAACACTGCCAATATAACAATTTGTAATCTCAATATAACAATTTTCGTTTGTATCTTATTCCATATATTCTAGAACTTCTTTGGATACAAGTTAGAAGTGCTTTTTAGAGCTTCTCTTTTGAAAATGAAAGAGTTATTTCCAGTAGAAAAGCCCTCAAAAGCACTTCTAAGCTTGTATACGAACAAATTCTTAGGACCTGTTTGGGTAAACTTATCTAAAAGCACTTCTAGGAAAGAAAAATAGGAAGGTAAAATTAAATGAGCTTCTCCATAAGCTAATACTAGCTTGTGCATAAGCTAATTTGTAAAAGTTCTCCTATTAGCTTCTCCAAAATTTTATTTTTAACTCATGCATAAGCTAGTTCTATCTTATTCTGATTTTTCTTCTTGTTTTTCTCTCCCAGAAGTACTTCTAGAGAAGTTTATCCAAACAGGCTCTAAATTTGTGTCAGTTTGTTTGCTTTTAGTTTGTGACATTTTGTTTGTTCTTATGGTCCAGATACATGGCTCCACCTCCTCCTCCTCCGTATGATCCATATGCAGGCTATCCTGTTGCACCTGTACCAATGCCTACTCCTGCTCCCATAGCAGCACCCAGCAGTTATGTTCCAGTTCAGGTGAGTGTGACCGAAAGTATGAACAGTGCTTTAGTTTCACTTGATCTTCCTATCAATGATTATATCATTACTCGTTGTGTTGTAATGTTCACCTTGTATTTTAAAAGGGAAGGACAAATTTTTAAATGCTCTGTTATCGTAGTCTGCAATGCTTGCTTAAAGAAAATCTCTTTTGGTCAGAAAGGATCGTAACTCTGCTCTTGATGATATATATGTCTCTCTTTGTGTGTGTGTGTGTATGTATATATTACAACATTAATTTTTAAAATTGATGAATTTATCTGCATAATACCATGTTCATGGCATGTTGAGCTGACATGATAGAGTTCTAGTATCATATTTCAAACTTCAAAGTGAGTATAGGCAGGGAGGCACTTACCTTTGATTTTGTTGGATATTTTGCTTAATGTTTTGAAGATTACTATTCTTATTTTATCAATGATTGTACGTACCTATTTTGTCTCATCTTTTGAAGATTACGATTAATATTTTATCAATGATTATTGATATAGAGGCAAGATTAAATTAATTGATACCAGAAAAGAATTATTTTCTGTGTGAAAGCTTGAATGCATTGTTTTACAATTATATTGGTAAATACATTAAAAGGTGATTCCAGTGTACGAATCTCATTTGCTAGAAGAATCTTTGAATAAAAGTAGTACTAGTTCCAAACTCTTTCTTGAAGTGATGTGTTTTTCAGGTTTTGCTAGACCTAATAGCTAATATGTGGTAATTATAAATTCTCCGGGAATGATTGCTCATAGATTACTTGTGTCAGTGTAAGTAAGATGAAAAATTGGGTTCCACTAAATCTAATCTGGAATCACTAAGGATGTTCTCCATAATGAAACTGAAGGAGTTTTCAATTTTACAAATAACTAGTAGTTTAGCCTGGGCAATGCACATGCTAATTATTTATTATATATAATTAAAATTTATAATAAATTATATATACAAATAAATACTATATTTGAATATATAAATCATACTTAAAATTGGTATAAATTGATTTTTTTAAAATATAAATTCCCCTGAAGATTACGAGTGTACCCTCAGGCAGGTACAGTCTTTAAACAAATTTTATTTGATTTTAGTCTTATTTCTTTTTCAAAAAGTAAAAAAAAAAATTTACAGTAATGACCAAAATGTTGTAAAAAATATTAAAAACATTAATAATGAAAAATGGTAAAAGTTTAGGAACTAAAATTAATCAAAAAAGATTAATTAAAAACTTAAAGCGAAAAGTGCTAAAAATTCATTAGACCGAAACATATTTAGTACATGTCAGTTTTCTCGTTTGTGGTAGACAAAAGTATGTATGGTCATTTTATTCCATCATGATACATACTTATCTGTTTTGTTGCTTTTTGGATTGCTCGCCAGCAAATATACAATCACGAGCTTAATCCTTAGATTCATATTCATGTTTGTGTTTATCATTTACAAACAATTACTCGTATACTGCACTAATTTAAAAAAAAACACTATAATTACTATTATAGCTTAGTCAACTCAAAACGACAGTGTGGTGGAAATCAAGGAAGATTTAAAGGAAAAACAAGAAATGTTTTTCAATGCTTGTTGTTAGGCTGAAATACTACATTCACATCACATCCTTAATGAGTGGACGTTTAATTTCCTTTAATAATGTTGAATTGTTCATGTCCTAATTCATGAACCTAATTTATACTCTTGTTTTCCATCAATTTCGTTCTCTTTTTTTGTTGCTTTGTTGAAAGGGTAGACTATATTGTTTTCCTTTTGAAATAAATAATTTGTTTTGGTTTGACGTTGAAATTTAAACTTGCTTAAAAGTCAACTAAGCCAATGGCCTTTGAATTTCAAGCAGAATGACGCTTCCATCCCTTACCTGTCCTAGTTTATTTCCTGATATCTTTGGGCCAATGAGATACACAGGATCATAACTTATAAAACTTGTCGTCTAAGAAGAAAAAGTCCTACCCCTACCCTAAAGAAGAAAAAATAATTAGGTTGATTACACTTTCACGATTCCACTGAATATCTCTTCATTATTTGGACCTTCATTGATATTTCGCAAAAGTTGAAAATACGTACGTTATATTTGTACCCTTGAGTTTCTCTTCTTTCACATAATCCTTCTCGAGCTCCACCAGCACCACCTCATCCTCTTCCTTCCCCTCCAACACCTTGCTCATATACACCAACCACCCCCAAAGCCTTGATCATGTTTGCTCAGAGTCCAAGTCCAAGAAAAAAAAATCCTCGGACAATGCCCCCATCCTCACGTTGTGATGCTGCAACCATTACATCATGCAAAACCCCCCAATGGCGAACTAGGCAGCTCAATCCAAAAATGCTCTACAATGCCTGAAGGTTTTGTTTCAAGTTGGTTCACCTCTTGCCCAAATATAGACCTACTTGTAGCCCAATATTCACAAGTAAATTACATTTGAATAACCATTATAAAGTGTTGGAGATACGACTGATGAAGGAGATAGTGGCTTGGTTGAGACTATAAACCTTGCTCTTGATGTTGTTCCTATATTTTTTTTAATTAATTTAATTAAAAAAGAGAGAAAGAACACAAAGAGTATGAGTGTAAGATTTTTTTTTTTTAACTTTTAAGAGGTCTCACTATATTTTCAAATCACATAGGGACATTAAGTGCAATCTTAAAAAATACAAGAGGTGTGAATGTATTTTACTCAAATAATTATAATATAGTTAAGAGTTTAAGACCTTTTTGATAAGTTATCCCATAAATATTTTTAAAAGAGAAAATAAAATGTAAAAAAATCTCTATAAGCTAAAACTAGCTTAAGCATGATAAAAAATAAGATTTAGGAAAAAATAATGAGAGAGAAATTCTACAAAATAGCCTATATCTAATCTAATTTTAACTTATAAAAAAGTTATTTCATTTTTCTTTTCTATTTTGTTCTTCTATAAGTGCTTTTGGAGAAGATTACATAAACAAGTTTTAGTCTTTTAAATTTGTTTTGTTTAAAACTAGCACATAAAAGACACTTCTTGCCCTTTTATATTTAAAGTTAAATATGAGAATGTAGAAGTTAATAATGAATAATGTTATTTTTTTACATCAAATAATGTTATTAAATAAGCTATTTATTTAACTTTATTTTAATAGCTCTATTATATATATATATATATATATATATATTATCAACTTATATATATTAAATATTGCTCTCGTACGTAGCACCACTTGTTCTTGCTCATGTTGTTGTCTAAGCAATTGTGGGGTAGCCTCAACTTCCTTTGACCTTCTCTTGAGGTCAGCATTCTTCTATCGCATCTCAGTTAGCATTGCCCAAACTTCCTTCCACGAGGGATCGCCTCCCTTATTGCCACCAAGGAGGGCGGAATTCACAGTGTGGGAAGTGCTCCCATTGTTACTTGGTCGTGCCATTGTCTAGAAAACAAAGATTCTTGGGGCATCAACAAAAACGTTCTTGCCTTCGCCCCACGATGGGCGCCAATGTTTTGGTAAAGAAATTAGAGGTAGTTCTATCAAGAGCATAAAAGTGATTACTAGTCAAAAACCTGCCTTGGTCTTCTAGTGTCAACCTTATATATTAGTTAATTAGTTTACATTTTTGATCCTATTAAATCGGATATGTCGTTATTTCCTAGTTTATTTGATCTCATAGAACTAATAAATTATCTTTTATCTTTTGGTCTGTTTATATCGGTGCTCTTAATGGTAAACATATTGTTTGGTAGCCTTTTAGGCCAAGCCCTTATGCCTTGGGGTAGGGGTGAGCATTAAACCGACACCCGAACCGAACCCGAAAAACCCGAAAAAAAATATTGTTTTTGGGTGGGTTCGGGCGGGTCTTATGGGTAAATCGGGTTAAAATTTTGATTTTATACGGGTTATATTGGGCGGGTTCGGTTTTGAATTTTTAAACCCGCTAAAAACCGAACCCAACCGAAAATGAGATAAGTTTAAATTTTTATTACTTTTGTATAACTAAACAACAATGGTCCAAATTTAAAAGTCTTTATTTCAAGTATAATATAGCCATCAATTTGTAACTTATTTTTTTCCTTTTTCTCATAACTTAGATATTTATTTTGTCTTCTCCTTCCTCATTCAACTTCTCAACACACTAGTCCATTTTTAGAGTTATCTTTTTGCTTCTTTCTTTGTCTTTCTTTTCCATCTTCTTATCTCCATTTTGAGTACATTTTGTGTGACTGTGATTTCTTATGGTTTTGTAATCTAACTTTATATTTCTTTTCCATGTAACAACTATGAATTTTGTTATCTTTTATTTTTGCTTCTTTAGTTTGTAAATGTTTCAACTACGAATCTATTTACATGCACCATCTATTGTCACCTTCATTCTATTTTTATACACTATTTTAAAAATATTTTTTATCGTTTTAAGCTTCATCTTCGTTAAGATAAATTGGTCTACAAAAAAATTCAAACCCGATTATACCCACCCGCTTAAATCCGAATCCGTTTCAACCCGAACCGCCTCAAATCGAAAGCTCAGTCGGTCGGATATGGGTCACATTTTTTCAAAGTCGGTTTACAACGGGTTGGACATTTTTCACCTGAACCCGACCAAATCGGGCATTGATTTACTGTAGACATATCATCGTTTGTTTCTTGACTCGTGGTTAGATAATTGTTCTAGGACTCAGGAGCGTACATTAACCCTTTGGACCAAGGCCTTAAACTTGAGGGATTATTTTTTGTGGACATACCATCATTATGCAAATCGACCTATGATTAAAGATGTATATATATATATATATGGATTGTTTTTGACTTGGGGATATACAAACCTTCAGTCTTGAATGTTATAATGCAAAAAGACTTAAAATTAGTTAAATTATTGACTCGACTTTAACTAGATCAGTCATAAGTCTAGGATGGTACAATAACAATGATATAGTTATTTATTTTATTGAAACATAGAATATTGTTTTATTATATCATAATGTATATATTTATATTATTACAATATGATATATAAATAACTACTATTATACATATGATCGATATATCATTACGATATGATGTAACATTTTTAATGAGGAATTGAGATGGAAAAATAATTAAAGGAACAAAGTTCATAATGTAGGTAGATTGTTGTGACATTATATAATTAAGCATGTGATAGATGAAATGAAATCCTTAATTTGAATAATCGTTATATAAGCATTCTCCTTTAACAATATGAGAT